TAGTGACAATAAAGGCATTCCATTCTATTCTATAAAAAGAGAGACAGGTCCAGAAATAAAATATAGAAACTAAAAGATAGTAAAACGCTCCATAGCACTGAGGTTATTAAGGTTGACTGATAATTCTTTGTGGGTCTAACACCACAAGCGCACCCCTTTGGCATTACACCTAGTCATTTGCCCCATTGTTAATGGTTGTCTCTGTTGTTGAATATTGATTATAGCAGCTTTAAGATAATTCCAATACTGTTTCCCCTCTCTGTTCCCCTCCAGAAAAGAAAGACACTGTGCTGCGGCAAGTGCGTCTGGACCCTTGCGACCTGCAGCCCATCTTCGACGACATGCTGCACATCTTAAACCCAGAGGAGCTGCACGTCATTGAGGAGATTCCGGCCGCCGAGGACAAGCTGGACCGGCTGTTTGAGATTGCGGGGGTCAAGAGTCAAGAGGCCAGCCAGACGCTGCTGGACTCGGTCTACAGCCACCTCCCTGACCTGTTATAGTGGAGGAAGGAGAAAGAAACCACACGGATGAGAATCTAGACAAGAATTAAAAGGAATGTGTCAGTGGGAGGGATAAATCAGATCTGATCTGATAGAGTCCGACTGATCCTGTCACTCTGTCACATGATTTGAGCTGGGTGTTGTAGATAAGGTCTCTCCAAGGACTCTTTCAAATGTTTCCTGGTACTACTCTGTACCCTCCAATCTTCTGTTGTCTTGTGTGTGCACACTATTACTCCTTCAAAACCTCCATCCTCCACCATGATACAGGGTCAACGCTCAATGTAATGGAAGCATTCTGGTTGTCAAAGCAAGGACTATTTTTACTTTTCTTAAGTATGTTCAGCCTTGTTTAAGGTGATATTATGCGAGCATTGTGACCTCAAAAATTAGGCTGAAGAGCCTCCAGACACCAACAACAACAAAAAAAGCTGGTCTGAAGAAAAGCTGAACACATGGAAAAACATAAAAAGCACTTTCTTTATCTTAACTGGCCAATGCCTTCACCTTTAAAGGATAATACCGCTGTTTTTTGCTGGTTGTGCCAATCATCAAGGCTTCCTTTGCCTTTAACATCATGTCAGTGTTAAAACAAATTAATTTAACATGGTGGTTGTTGCTAAATGATTGCAAGAAAGGAAACTACACACAGACTATAGTAAATAAGCTGTTATTCTAAATGACACTGGTATTATTCTTGGGGTTTAATGGGGTTTAACGGTTCTTGTAAACCACCGTCACAGATAATTTGACCAGGTGTGAATTGACTCATAAGTCATGTGCCTGAGCTTGTAACATGCCCTTTTCTCAGCCCATGAGCCTTCTTTTTTCCCCTTCCTCTCCTTCCAGTTGCCTGTACCTGAAGCAGATCATCTGTGGGTCTGAGCGTTTTAACTTCTAACCACTCCAGCAGGGGGCAGTGTTAAATGAGATGGCTGGCCTGCCGCTCTGGAACCAAAGCCATATATCAAAAATACTGGATTAAACGTCAAAATAGTGTACCTTATCTAATATTATGACATATGGCTTTGTTTTTGTTTGCTTTTGGACAGAGGCTTCCAAACTAACAGTGGACTGGACAGTGAAAACGGTTTAGATACGTTGCTTTGGAAGCTGTTGGACTCATGGACAGTAGGCTATACAATAAATACTTCTACCAGTGCACACATTCAGATCTCTGCTAGCAAGCCCCATTCGCCTCAACAAATGTAGCGTTGATAAAGTGTTCTTGATACATTTTGGAGCTTCATGTCGGTGTGGTGGATGTCTGAGTGTTTCAGTGCTATAGTAAAAATATGTGATTTTTTTTTTCATGCATTGGTATGTTGCTACATGCGCTACGTAGTTGATATTAAAATGTAATAATGATGCACTAATTATATTTTCTATTGAAAAGGCAGACATGTATTGTGTCCTTCATTTTCTTTTTCTTTCTTCCTGAAATGCTGTTAACTAACATTTAATTTTGTTGTAATGTTTTCTACTTTTAGTTTACTATTTTTATGTTATTGTAGCAGCTCTGTTATCATTTTGACTTCTTTGTATCTCATGTTGTCATGGGCATTCACATGTATTTCCCCCTGCTTGGCGTGACAAGATGACCTGGCTGGGATGTAAGATATGCATACTCCATACTCTACTTGAAGTCTGTCCACTAATGTTACTTGATTTTAATGAGGAAGAAATAATGTACTCTTTGAGTTCCTTCCAAGTTCATCGTTCTTAAAATAATGATAAAACTAAAAAGCACCACCAAAAACTCACCCGCGTTTGGAGAGGATGTTGCAGGCACCATGAGAGCAGCATATGATGGACTCTGTTTTCACCAAGCCAGTTACCATAAAAGCTCCAGTGGTGCTAGATGTGAACTCTCACCAGTTGGCCTGAAACAGGGGTTCTTAACCCTGGACTAATGACTATTTAAAATATTCCAGACTGAGTGAACGAGAGTGAAGGCTGTGCTGCTGTGGATTGTGGGATGTTGACAGTGATGGTGATGATGAGAATGTGTGAGCTTGCTCTCCGCGTCTCTGTGGAGACTCAAACTGCAGAGTGGGAGCTTTTTATTTTCTTAAGGGAGTCTGAAAGGATGAAGGTGAGATGTGAAATGCAAATGCGGCTCGAGTGGATGATTCCATCAAATTTCACGTGTGTAACCAGTATGTTTACTACTATGTAACCTCTTAAAATCAACCAATTAAAGCTCAAAACATTTGTCATAACTTTGTGTGTGTAGTTGTCAATTATTCAGATTTTTGTAAAGCTAAGCCGAGTTAAAGGTCCAGTGTGTAATATTTAGGAGGATCTATTGGCAGAAATGGAAAATGATATTCATAGGTATTTTTTTATTAGTTTATAATCACCTGGAGTCTGCCATGTTTCTACAGTAGCCCAGAATGGACTAACAGACAGACTTTTCCTACACACTTAGAAGGCGTGTGGTATTCAAATGGTTGTAATTGGCAAATTCAGCACTAGATGCCACTGAAGTCCATAATAAATTCTTTGTATATCATTATCAATCTGCACACGTCTGTAGATTAATACTAGCCATTTGGCTTAATCTGGCACTTAATATGCCAGTTATTGTTATCAATCGATGTGCATTGTCCCTGAATAAATCAATACATAAAGTAGAATTAATAAAAGGTGACTGTATCTGCTCAGACTGGCGCCCTGCTGATCAGAAATAGTTATGATCTATGTCTTTTATTTTGAATGACTTGGGAGAGTTTAGAAGGTCAGCACTGACATCACACATGGGGAGATGGGTATGACTCATAATTAGCCACTGATGTGACCCACCTGGGGGACACCCACACAGCAACAGTGGAGAAGTTGAGTTGTGTCATGATCCAGGAAAAGATGCAGTATTAGCTTTTTTTCCTTTGGCCTTTGCTGACAGTTTGGTACCTTGCCATCCACATTTCTAGCAAATAAAAGCTAATCTGCCTATGTAAAGTTCGGAGAAGCCCGGTTAAAGCGGAAGAGATCCTACTTGCTGGAACTACCCGCACCAGCTTTGTAGGAGGATGTGTTGCGTGTGATAAGGGTGGAGTCAGAAACAGAAGAAACAGAAACAGAAGGCACAGTACACAAGAACGTCCTTCATATTATAGCAAGCTTGCAAAACAAGACTTTCAAGTCGCAGGCAGGCATGTTAGGTGCAAGGTACAGAGGGTTTTAAAATATCCATTTGAAATTACAGCTCAAAAAACACTTTTTCACACATAAATACTGGCACATTTTTTACTTGTCATAGTAGGGAAAACAGAGTGAGTCAGCATAAACTGACTGAAACTAAGGAAGTTAAGGGAATTCATCCATCATTCATTTTATTATTTACACCTGTATTTATCCTACAGTAACATCTCAAAATGTGTTCCAGTTTCAGTTTCAGTCTTTATTTTTCTTCCTCATTCCCAGTCTAAAACTGCATGCATATGTTCAGACACACCCAGACTCACATTTTTTTTACAAAATACATGAACTTACGCGTCGTGCCCTCATTGTTGTAGATCCCTCACTTTCTCGCTTAACTACAATGAGCAGCAGAAAAGGTCAGTGTGGCTCCAGTTACACTGACTGAGATGGGTGAAGATTATTGACCGTGTGTGTGGTTGTGTGGGTTCACTGTATGTGTGTGTAGGTGTGTTAGTTCACCATACCTGGCCACAGACCTGCCGAGTCACAAAGATGTCTTTGATCCTCACCTATTCACAAACAATGTGTTATTTAACAGAGCGGAATAGAGGGCGTGCAGGAGATGTAATGCATCCTCTGGCAGCCATATTGGAGCTCTTGCAGTAGCCAAGGACAGTTTGATAGGTTTCTGTTTGTACAATTTCGTCCATCGCTACTGAATTAAACAGACACAAACTATTTAGTGTGCTTCTCCTTGCTAGTAAATTGACCATTTAAGTGATTTAAAGCTATGTAGCTATTGTCATTTGGATATAGATACTAAATGCTAGAATTGCTATTCATCATGTTGTTTCTCATGTGTTTGAACTGAATTAGATAGACACAACTACAGTATCTCCTTGTTAGCAACCTGCTAGCATCTACCTGAATTTTATCTGTTTAGCTAACGTCCCTATCACACGTTCACTTTGACTGCTAGCCAAAAGATTTGTATCCACAAAATATGTGACCAGCTACACGTTTACTGCCACCCTTATTAGTCTAACTGAGCTGCAATAAAAGCTCGGCCTGATGATGTTTCCCTGCGTTGCACGGCTTGATCACAGGAATGCATTTCCTGCTGTTTTATATCTCATATATCTTCTTATGTATCTATCTTCTTCTATCTCAGTTAACACTATTACACATGTAGTCAGTTGCATTGCTCTAATTGTAAGGCATTAATCACTCACAACCAGGCTGACTCATTTACAGTAGTCATAGGAATGTCTAATGGTTATTTATGAGGGGCCGTCAGGGAC